TTCCCGCGCCCTCGATATGAGTGCGAACCTTCGGCGCCCACGAGGGCGCGAAGACGTTCGTGGTCTGCTGCTCGCGTTCGGCTCCGCTCCCCGTCCTCCTCCTCCTCCCCCTCCTTTTCCTCCTCCCCCTGGGGGGTTGGCGAGAGGGCGCGGGGTTCCTCGAGCTTTGCGCGTCGGGAGTGGGCTGACGAGCGGCTCCGCTGGCCCAATCTCGAAGAAGAGAAAACGCCATAAACATAAACTTCAGTGGGGCGTGTCCTTCTAAAAAGGTGGAATATCCACCGATAGTCGAAAATAGTCGGGGGACGATTTTGTTGACTACGTTTGACAAGTGTTGGAGTATTTCAAGACTATTTTCTATCGTTCGCCCCAAATCCCGCTGTAGGGGGACAGGCCCGACCTAAACATCAACTTTCGGCGCCTCGCGCGGATTTCTTGGCTCCGCGCTGGCCCCCCCCCCGGCGCCGCCTCCGGCGCCGCCCTTGGCGCTCTCCGCACGCCTGGGAGGGGATGGTCCAGAGCAGATCCGAGAACCACGCGCGCAGAGCGCAACAAGTTTGTGTGTATGGCGTTTTTATCCCCGAGTTCCCCCACACAGAGCTGGTCGCCCTGACAAGAAAGAGGGGGAGCTCTGGGATTTGTCATGTTTTGCCCTCAGGGGGCTATTCGAACGCACCCACGGGCATCGAGGATGGACCCCCCCTCAACGCGTATCCCCGAATTGGGCTCCAGATTATTCGGCCCGTCGAAAATCCAAATGATGCGAAGAATGGGGACGCCAAACATCTTGCTATGGGATCCTGGCTTCGCCCGCCAGGGGCGCGAAGATGACCAAGCTTCGCGCGTCGCGGCCTGGGCCGAAGAGCGCGCCCTCCAAAGGGGTGGCGCAAAAGATCGAAGAGGTCAACCGCGCGCTGCGGGGCGCCATGCGCGAAGTTCGGTGACCTGGGGAACCTCGCAGACATCCAAGATCGTGATGTTGTTCAGAACGTGGCTCCCCAGAGGTCTGGACCCCTTCCCCGGGCTCGTCATCCCGAGTTGTCTTCTGATGGCCCTGGGGCCCGCGAAAGGCCCCCAGAAGCATAAGACGACGAACAGTTGTCCGTCGTGTTTTTTTTTCGCTACGCGAGGCTGCGGGGCGGCGCGAAGAGGTCAACCGCGCGTCGCGCGCCGCAGGGCCCGATGCGCGAACTTGGGCGGCCTGGGGAATCTGTGCTCGCCTATCGTCGTCGCCGCCGTCGTCGCCGCCGTCGTTGTCGTCGCCGTCGTCGCCGTCGCCGTCGTCGTCGCCTTCGTCACCGTTGTCGTCGACGCCGTCGTCGTCGTCGTCGTCGTCGTCGTCGTCGTCGTCGTCGTCATCGCCTTGCGGTCGTTGTCGACATCTCCGCACGCAGAGGAGGGAGGCCGTGGAGAGCCCGCGCCGGCGGAGACACCGCGGCGGCGGCTGCTGCAGCCCGCCCGCCCAGAAGTCCAGACCTGGCCGCCGGCGACCCCGAGCAGGGGCAGCATGCCAGCGGCCCCGTCGCCGTCCAGGCGCCTCGCGTCGGACGGAGAGGGATGAACAGACTCCCTCGTCGACGTCGGCGGCGGCGGCGACAACGGCGACCACCTCGACGGCGACCACCCCGACGATCACGCACCATCCCAGACGGCCAGCGTGCGGTCCTGGCACCGCTGGCGCCTCTGGGCAGAGGCCCCAGACATGTGACATCCTCTCCCGCTCCCTCGTCCTCCTTCCCCCTCCGCCTCGAAATACCCACTTCTCGCTCCAGACGGGGAACAGATACTGACACTGCTACCCTTCCCTCGTCGCCACGGTTGGATCCGCCTCGAAATTCTTTACGTTTCGCGTATCCCCACCGGCCGGCTTACGCAGCTTAGGTTTGACCCCGCGCTCTAGTTTGCTGCTCGCTGTAAATTAGTAAGGACCGCGCCCCGGACTTACCGACCCGCCGCCTGCGCCTTCGCTTGCGGCCGCGACCAAAAATATCCCCACCAGCGGGGCGCCTGGGGCTGAGTGCACGTGGTTCAGCCTGTGCTCTCCTGGCTGTCGGACGACCGTGTTGACCCGTCCCACGGTCCTTGGCGGCGATGCCCACGGCATCCTCTTGCTCACTCGCCCCAGTGCTGAGACGTGGATCTCCCTGGTTTGGTCAGCTCTCAGACGTCGGTCCCTGCTCGAGTGTGCGCGTGGCGTTACCAGATCCGGTGGTTCGGGCGTTTTACGGTGTCGATTACATCCATCGTTGTCCTGGCTACTTCGCTCGTCCCTGGGACCATCCCGTGGACGGTCGTTCGCAGGATCAGTAGTCCCTTCAGAAGCCTTCGTGTGCGAGTTTAGTGGCGCCACCCTATGCACCAGTTTTGGGCCAGTATGAACACCCACGGCAGTCGACGCAGTGTACTGGCTGGTTGCCTCCCTGGTCACATTCTGGTACGACCCTCGCGCCATTTTGGTTGCGCCCCAACCCTGGTTGGTTAATCTGGCATGTGCGCGTTCCTGGACCTGGTCCCTGGTAGCTGCAGTGTGCACCTCCCCCTCACGCCGGCCCGCCCGCGGAGGCGCTGCTGAGGTCGCCGGCCCGTCGGCGTTGGGCAATTCGGTTTTTGAGCGGCCCGCTCGGACCTCACTCGCCGCTGGCGCCCTCGCCTGCGGTTGCGACAAAAACTATCCCCACCAGCAGTAACGAGCGCGTGGCTAAACAAAAAACACGCATTGCCTACACCCGCTGGCGCATATGGGATGGTGTGCTAGATCAATGGAGGACTTCATCATCCGTGAGTGCACGCTACTTCGCGGCAGAAAGAGCCCAGCTTTTCCCAAGACTTCGTGTGAAGAGCACTGGCAAACTGGTGCCCGTGGCGGGTGTACTGAGGTAATTTTCGGTACCGAGCGCCTGGCGTGCGCGTTAGTGTTCACAGGGTTATGGTGAACTCTCCTCCTTCTTCTCCTTGTGCTTCAGCGGTTTGCTGACTCTCCCTCTCCTGCGTCGCTGTGATCATGTATTCGGTACCGAGCGCCTGGTGCGCGCGTCAGTGCACACAGGGTTATGGTGAGTTCTCCTCCTGCTTCTCCTTTTGCTTCAGCTGTTAGCTGACTCCCCCTCTTCCTGCGTCACTGGGATCCCGTTTTGATCGGGACTGGGTGGTGCAGTGCCTACTGGCTGCCTTCAGCCGGCGCCACCCCCCCTTTGCTGATGGCCGAAAAGGTTCAGTGAGCTCCGATGCTCGTGTCTCCTGCTTCCTATTGCCGCAGCGGTTAGCTGCCACAACGGGTTGCCTACCGTGCCTGGCGTGCACTTCCCCTCCTTTCCCTCGCTTCGCCGTGTTTATCCCACGCGGTTGGGGTCGCCGCCGATACTGCTGCCCGATGTTGCTCTGGCAGCCTGTTCCATGCAAGGTTCACACTTGGGAACGGACGGCCACGTGGCCCCTGACTTGCTCCTGTCTGGTGTCGGCCTCCACTGGCGACCGGGAGGGTTCCGTGAGGTCTCGCTTCGAATTCCATGCATGACCACACCGGGGATGGGCGGCCAGGTGGCCCCTGGCCTGCTCCTGCTTGGTGTCAACCTCCACTGGTGGTGACCTTTGGGTTCCGTGGGGACTTGCTACGATACCGTTCTCTTCTGTGCAAGGATTTCGGCATGTGTTGCTCTGGGCGCCCGTCGGCTGCTTTCTCCTTCATTTTCTTCGCTTTCGACCTGTGCCACCGGGTGTACATACCAGAGGATCTGCCGTTTGCAGTCCTGTCTGTGACGAGGCTGCCCCCCTCTTCACTCCGGCGCCGACGCGATGCTGTTGCGTCACCTACGGCACGGATGTCGCCCTGAAGTGCCTGTCGGACCTGCTCGTTTTCGTCGGGCCCGATGCCGACTTACAACGGGTGATCGACCTCAGCGTGTTCATGGTCGCGCCGCCGCGCCATTTTGGCTGCGCCTACTTGATGGTCGCCACCGGGATTTCCACGCCACCGGGTTGGAAGTGCCGCTCCTGGTGCACTTATGAGTGGCTGCCCGCGCGCTCGCTTCGCTTGCCCCTCTCTTTCTTGCTGTCTAGTCGCGGCCCGGCTAGTGATCGGACGGCTTCCGGCTTGCTTCGCGAGCCCGCAGACCAAAAAGTAGCCCCACCAGCGCTGCGTAGCCTTTGGCTCAAGCCTGGCTCAAGCCGTCTCACGGGCCTGGCCCCCTCGGGCCAGTCTCCCGTGCTCGAGGCGGCGCCCGACGCAGCGCCGTGCGGCCTCCCCCGCGCCCGTGCCCGCCACGCGTACTGCCATAGCGGCGACCCCCCGGTGAGGCACCACCCGTCCCCCAGCGAGGCGTTGGCTACTCTCCTGCGGGTGCCTCAGAAGCTGGAAGAAGCAGAAGACCGGCCCCTGGGGACCCTGGATTTGACGGGGAGTTTTTGTGCGAATGCAGGGCTAGGGGGCCTCGTCACTGCCAGAAAAGTATTTTGCCCAGGGGCCTCTCGGGACCACCGACCACGCACTCGCCGCTCGGGGCAATCCATCCAGATCTGGGTCAGCTCGCCTCCGATCCTTGATTAGGCCCCCACCTCCGATCCTGAACACATCGAGGGCATCGCTGATCATAGTTGCCCCCTGCCAGCGCAGCAGTACGTTTCAGGCGAATCCAATTCCAATCATTCTGCTGCTGTCAGCTGCACCCTACCAGAGCACCAGCGCACCGCAGGCGGAGTTACCCCCCTCGCCCTGCGGCTGACATCCGCATTCCGACCGAGCAGCTTGATGTCTCAGGTGCAACTATCCCCCTATTCTTGCGGCCGTCAGCTGCAGCCCGGCGGAGTGTCGACATCATCCTGGCGACGCTGTGACTCAGCACCCTGCGGTTGGCAACGGCGCCCGAATTGCTCAGGCTGGCGTGACCTGTACCCCCAGACTGCGCCAGCCTCCTATGTTCCCTCAGGGCTGCCACCAGTCCCTGTCGAAACCTGTTTTCCACATCCTACCGCTGGTACCCTTATCCCAACAGGTCTCCGTCAGAGCTCAAGCGTTACCATCCCCCACGTCACTACGGCGGTGAACGGCAATGTTCCAGAACATCGTCAGGCCTCAGGTGGAACGGTTCCGTATCAATCTTCGGACGTTACCCTTACCTCAATAAAACAACGGCCTTGCCCTACCATGATCGACGATTGCGTAGAACGGGGGACGTCACCCAACCTTCCCCGCATTCCAGACGAACCCCCATCCGACTTCGACACGCCTGTTAGTGGCCGCCGGGAGGCCCGAAGCCCCCTTTGCAGTCACCAAGTTGACGTCGCCACCTCTGGAAGAGGTTCCAGGGCGGACAGGAGACAGCAATCCTAACCCCCCATACCACTCCCAACCAGCCGCCAGCCCTGCACGGCGACATGACCCCGCCTTGTTACCTGGGCGAAGATGAGATTTCTCCGACCCTGCCCCTGTCGCATTCGGAATGGTTTCGCAGAAGGAGTGGCGCCACTTGCCAGGCGGAAGACGTGTACGCCAGCAGAGATGGACGCAATCGGTCCCGCAGCATCACCTCTCAGCGAAGGAACAGGGCCGCGGACAGGGAAACCGAGGGAGGCTCCCCCAACGCGGGGGACCGGAGGAGTTCCGACACTCCTCCACTCCCCAGGGGGACGGCCGGCGAGCTCCACCCCCCGGATTCGGATTTGGAACGCCCAGGCCAGGCACAGAGAGGGAGGACCCCGAAGCGATAGCGAGCGGCTCTAGGCGCGAGTTTTCTCCTCCCCACCCCCCCACTACCTCCTTTCCCTTTCCTCTTCGGTACGGGTCAAACCCCAACTCAGTCCCAGTGTGCGGACCGCCAGGTGGGGGCGCTCCCAGACCTGGAGGGCCGCCTCAACGCTGTGATTTGGGAAGGATCCTCAACCCCAACGATTCGGTCCGAAGATGACCCAGGCTGCGGAGCAGCTCCAGGCGAGATGGGGACAGCGGGGAGACACTCCAGTCCTCCGCCGCTACCCCCCAGGGAACTCGCAGCGGGCGGACCGCTTGCTCTAGACACCCGCCCAACATCTGGAGGGAAAAAAAACACAGACACAATTAATCGTTGATTCCCCAGAAAATATGGGAAAATATGGGAAGTGGGGGGGAAGACAAAAACCCAGAAAATATGGGAAAATATGGGGAATCATGTTATTTGTGTGTATTTATTTGTGTGTCCTGGGGCCCCTTTCATAACAGGAAGGGGGGGCCCCCCTGCGGCGCTTGCAGGAGTCCGCCGAACTGTCCCGCGGCCCCTGGCTGGACGGGGGAGGGGCCCGGAGCCGCACGCCCGACCAACAAAAAACAACCTCGGAATACTCCTCCCCTGGACGCGTCGCCGTCCTCTACACGCCCCCGGCGGCCCCGGAGGGCCACTTGACCACAGCGGTCAGGACTTCGACCCCGACGAAGACCCCAGGCACGTCGCAAACACTCCGTGCCACCTCGACATCACGGGATTCGCCCGGTCGGCCAACGGTTGCGACCTCGAGGCGAGATTCGGCGGAGTCAGGCCACACGACTTGCAACTACAGGACACCAGCAACGACGACCCCCCGCCATCAGGCCTACCCGATGACGGATCTGCCGCCGAAGACGAGGCGGCCATTGCAGAATACCTCCACATGGTGGAGGCGGCGGTCTATTGCGGGTTCCTGCCCACCCAGCGACAGGTTGAGGACCAAATCGGCCCCATTTCCCACATAAGAGTCCTCCCACCACCGGCTTCCCGCCTCCACAGCTGCTTTGATCTCTTGGACCCAGGCATAGCGGTTCGGGCCAAGAAGTTGCTCGTTCAAGAACACAGAGGCCTAGGCACCATCCACCTTCCGGACTACGAACACCTGTTAAGATGGGCTTGGCGACACGGAACAGAGCCCTGTGCTGGACACGACGTCCACTCGATCCCAATGGCTGGAGATGGTCCGCTGTCCTGGGCCGTCCCGGCCATCACCCCTCCCGCGCCGTATCGTGGCATGGCCCCCCCTATGGCACACCCTGGGGTGCGCCTACCAGCTACTCGGCAACGCGCAGAAGGGGGGTATGGGGGAGGGGGGAAGGCTTCTTAGAAGCACCCCTGCTTCTTAGAAGGCGCGGGCCTTCTCTGTAGACGTGAGGCCGAGGCCTTCTAAGAAGCAGGATGCTTCTAAGAAACTTCCCCCCTCCCCCTACTCACTTCTGCGCGCCGCCAAGCTACGCAGGGTCCATTTAGCACCTACTGGCCTCGGGACCGCACGGCGAGACGTCTTCAGATCGACCACTTCTTTTCGCCAAGTGAGCAGTGCTCGTGGTGCGGAACATGGACTTTAAGGGACCCGACCCTGGGGCTCTATGAACGAAATATCAGTTTTCATATGATTATCCTGTTTTGTGTTCCTTTTCCTCCTCATCCTAGTACTGTTACTAGCATTACTGCTACTATCAATTATACGACTAGTACTGGTACTAATACTAGTACTAGTACTACTACTACTACTACTACTACTACTACTACTACTACTACTTCTACT